AAATGAATTCTGAATGAGGAGTTGGAAAGCACTGATAAAAGCATCGAAGAAATTAAGAGGACTTGAGCCCAAACAGAAGTAACAATTATGTCAGATGGGTGGTCTGATATCAAAAATAGAAGTCTAATTAATATTCTCATTAATAATTCTTATGGTACTGTGTTTATAAGGTCAGCTGAATCATCTGATCAGTTAAAGATGTTGAGTTCATATTTGGATTATTAGATAGCATTGTTGAGAAGGTTGGAGAACATTTGGTTGTACAAGTTGTGACAGATAATATAAGTGCTTACAAGGCTGCATGTAACAAACTTTTGGAGATGAAACATCTATACTGGATTCCATGTGCTGCACATTGCATAGATCTGATTCTTGAGAAGCTTGGGAAGCTACCTCGACATAAGAATGCACTTACTAAAGCAAAAATACTAAGTTTATTTACAACCACTCTTGAGTTCTAGCTCTTATGAGAAAATTTTCAAAGAAAGAAATTCTAAAGCCAGCAGCAATAAGATTTGCCACCGCTTACTTGACCTTAGAGAGCATGTTGGATGCTAGACAACTTTTAAAGGCAATGTTCACATCTGTACAGTTGTTGAGTTGTGCTTGGGAGAAGAAGGCTGAGGGAAAAGAGATTAAAAAAATTGTTTTAAATAATAGATTTTGACAAAGTATCTTATATGACATTACAACCACTAAACCTTTTGTTTAAGCTTTAAGGATGGTGGATGCTGAAAAAAAGCCTGCAATGGATTTCATCTACAATGCCATAGATGAAGCCAAAAAAATGAATGCCTCCAACTTAGGAGGCGAAGAGGGTAGCTTTAGAAAAATTTGGAATATTATTGATGATAGGTGGGAGCTATAACTTCACCGGCACTTGCATGTAGCTGATTATTACCTAAATCCTCAGTATCAATGTACAGAGAACAAGTCTACAAATCTTGAAATAAAGTTGAGATTTTATCATTGCATGGATCAGCTAATAAGTGATGCAACTAAAAGATCAAATGCTGACATGCAATTGATACCTTTTAGGAATAAAGAAGGCTTTTTTGAATTACAACAAGCAAATGATACAATTGCCAAATGATTTCCAGGTAATTTTCTTTAATGTTTTAAATATTTATTTAAAAGTTATTTTTTTTCTCTAATTAAACTCTCTTATATAAATATTAGTTGAGTGATAGATTCAATTTGACGATAGGAATCCAGAATTGCAGTATTTTGCTGTGAAAGATTTGGGCTTGATATGCTCTTCATCTGGCTGTGAAAGAAATTGGAGTACCTATAACAAAGTACATACAAAGAGGTGAAATTGCTTGTCCACATTGAGGATAAATTCACTGGTGTGTACATTATGTACAACAGGAGGCTCAAATATATGAATTTAAAGAAAAAAGGATTAATGGATGATGAAGATCCTTTTCTTTGCGAGGATATGGCATCTGATGATGAGTGATTTGTAGATGATGAAGTTGAAGTGATGCAATCTGAATTACAAGATAAAGATTTAAATATTGATTTCTTTGATGGTCTTAAAGCATCTACATCCACCACAACTGAAGAAAAAATTAAAAAAGATATATAAATAATATAATTTTCTTAGACTTTTATTAATGTATTACACTATTATTTATTTTAGAATTATTCAAAAAAATTTAGGGAAGAAAAAGATAACGAATATTGAGAAAAGAGCTGATTGGGAGACATTAGACTCTATAGGAGAGGAGGAAGGAGAGAGAGCAGTTCATCATAATGATGATTCAAATGAAGACCCCCTTAGCGATGACAGTGCTGATGACTTATGAGTTATTATGTGATATGTCATTGATATTTATTTTTGGAATTATATGTTAATGAAAAGAATACTGTGATTTGGAAAAGACGGAATTTGAGTTGAACTATATTTCATGTTGTCTTATTATTGGGATATTTTGATTTCACTTCATATATTGTGCATTTTTATGTTTTATATATTATTTATTCATTAGTATATACAAATTTTATCATCTTATGTTTACGCACTTTTTTTTATTTTGAGGCTTACGCCTCAAAACGCCTTGAGGCTTACGCCTCGTCTCATGAACGAAAAACGTCTCAATACCCGATTATGCAATTTTAAACATTAAAAAATAGATTTGACAATTGATGCATTTGACCCAAGTTTAGTGGCAAAGGGGTACATAAAAATATTAATTGTTTGGAGGGTCACAAAGCTAATTTTTATTATTGAAAATATCAAATAATGAGAGTTTATTAATATATATCTATTATAGACACTGTTTTGAAAACCGGACCGGACCGGCCGGTTCAACCGATTCAACCGTGAACCGGTCTGGTGGCCGGTCCGATCCAGCTTCAGAACTGGCTCTGCATAGAACCGGAGCAAACCAGATTGAACCGGCGGTTCAACCGGTGAACCGTTGAACCGGTCCGGGTTGGAAAGAACCGGCCGGTTCATAAAAATATTTTATTTTTGTTTTATTTAATTCTTCCGGTTCGTTGTCCGGTCCGGTTTTCATAACCTTGATTATACATAACGACATTAAAAACTTAGGGGGGACACATGGCCCCCTCATGTGATTTTTAGCTCCCATAGGTCCCAATCGGCTTCCACCAAAGTCAAGAGATTAAAGAGCAAACTACTCATATGATGGCTCCACATAGTTGAGTGAGCTCTTAGAGCATGATATTTGATGATGCTTTGGGAGAGTGATGAGTGATCTCAAGAGTCCCCATGTTAAAGAGAGATTGTTAAGGTGTGTGAGAGTATTGAGCTTAGTCCTCCAACTGATATTTTAAAAATATGATGGTTGAAATACCAAATGGTTGGAATTTAACATTTGGCTTATGATTTTGGGTGAAAATGAGTTTATCCATTGCTATATCAAATCCAACTTCAACATGATGTAGGATGACAAAGGATTAGGTTTCCCAATTTGACTAATATAATACATATTATGAATACATACAAAGAAAATTGAGGATTCGCATATACAAAATCTTCTAATAATTCAATCATTTATATGTTTAAATGTAACATATATATTTAAAAGTAAAACAATTGATAATGAAATGATAGAAGTTGTTGCGTACTAGAGTATTCGCGACGGTAGAGAAATATAAATTTTAACGTCTTAGTTTTGTACAAAGATCCAACACGCAATCAAATAAAAAAGAGGGTGCATTATTAATAAGAGACACCAAGATTTTATGTGGAAAACTCAAAAAAGGGAAAAAACCACAGAGGCCTAGCCCAGTTTGAATGAATCTACTAGTATTTGCAATAGATTACAAATGATTCCCTTCATTGGGGGGGAAGGCCTTAGCTTGATGTAACAAATATACATCATACATAGTGTGTTACATGGTAGAAAAATGAAGAATTACAGTTGATGTGTTCGTTTAGTCAGAATGATCATAGTCGGCGGGGGGGGAGGATCGTAGTTGGCGGGAGACGGAGGTCGGAAGGATCGTAGTTGGCGGGAGACGGAGGTCGGAAGGATCGTAGCTGCAGGAGACGGAGGTCGGAAAGATAGTTGTCTAGCGACAAAGGTCAGGAGAACTGTAGTCAATGGGAGACGGAGGTTAGAAAGGCCATTGTCTACTGACAAATGAAGGACCGTAGTCGGCGGGCGAAGGAGGTCGGAAGGACCGTAGTCGGAAGGCGATGGAGGTCCGACATCAATTGGTGGCCTTGCAAAAGTTCGGTGTTTGTTGGTGGCTGGGCAAAAAAACTGGCATTAATTGGCAGTTGGGTAGAAGTCCAACGTCAGTTGGTAGCCATGTAGAAGTTCAACGTTAGTTGGCGTTCGGGCAGAAGTTCAGCGACGAGTATAAATTCAGCGTCGGGTAGAAATCTAGCGACGGGCGAAAGTCTGGCGTCGGGTAGAAATCCAGCAACAGGCATAAGTCCGGCGACAGGCAGAAGTTCGGTGTTGGGTAGATTTCCGACAACGGTCGGCAAACGGGCAAAACTTCAACATCAGTTGGTGGTCGGGGGTTTCGTATTTCTGAGACATTCAGTTCGACTATAAGTTTGCTAAAATCGGAGTTCAAATGATCTTCGATTTAATTTTTGAATTTTCCAACTTGAGTTTGCCTCAAAATTTGCGCCTAATCAACATAATTTTTTGATGATATATCAGAAGTAATCCTAGAAAATCAGTGATGATTTAAACCATATAAATCAACAAGCAATTGTAATTTATCTGATTTTTACGCAGTTTTTCACAAAAGGAATAGAAATTTCTTATGCTCTTGCACCTGAATTGCTTCGCCTCTAACCGAGCTTCACTCCCACTTGTCTTCTCCGACATATACCTACCAGCAAAAGCCTCCAGCTTTTGGGGAAATAATTCCCCGTCACTGTGAGCATTTCAAAATAGGCATGGTTCCGAATAAAAAGCACAGAAAATATCCTTCAAATCACAAGCTAAACTATTGCTTGGATCCAGCTAAAAAATAAACTGAAAGTAGTGCCCAAATTTTGATTTAAAAACTTAAAAAGAAGCGTCTACTCTGAGTTAAAAGTAACACATCCGCTCCTAAACCCTAGAAATGATCAACAACTACCAAATTGCTCGGAGAAGAAAGGAAACAATAGATAAACACTGGACGAAACTTGAGCATTAACCAGTAAACATCACTGAGTGAAATGAAAGGAAGATCAGATCTAGCTTTCGAGCCTTGTGTTATATGCCATTAGCGTGTCTCTCTGCCTTCTCTTCACCGTATAATCGTCAAAACCTGCCTCCCTAAGCCGCTTACAGATGTACTCCTCAATGGGGAGCTCCCGACGTTCGCACGCGACGGCATTTCCGCCGCCGAAGCCCTGTTGAAATTTTTTAAATGATAGAAGTAATCCTAGAAACGGCCGATCGCGTTGCACCGACCGCGAGTTCAGATATTTCCACCCGACAAACAATGAATTTCTCTCTCTCTCTCGCATTCAAAATATTAACATTTATATAATTAATATTTAAATTTAACCTTACCCAGCATTTTATTAACGAAGTTAACGAATATCACAGTATACTCGCCGGATCTCACCCGGCACGTCGCTGTTCCCGCCGCTGCCGCCGCCTGGACCCATCGATATCTTCACCTAGACCCGTCGGATGCATTCGCCAGCGAGCTCCCGTGCGATTTCCTTGGAGCTTCAATAATTTCGATAGAGGTGTAATGGGGAGATAGAAGAGCTCGGAGGCCAAACATTGATATCATGATATGGCTGGTGGCGCAAGCGACGGGACTAATCTTTAGGGGTTGTAACGGGAAGATGTTATTTTTATTTTATTGGTATATTTTGAATGTTATGTATATAATAATAATTTTATTTTATATATTTTTCTAAAAAAACTATTTAAGAAAATCTTAATATATTTTCTATTATGATAAACTTTAAAGTTTTTAAATTTGTATTGAGATTAGTAAAGTTCTTAGATATTATATGTAGCCCTAACTTTAATGCAAATCTAAAGATTTTGAAGATCTTTCTAAGATAAAATATATCAGGATAAGATTTAAAGCTTTTGAATTTACACTTAAATTAGTACAATTAATGATAGTATATATAAAACTAATATTAACCTACAAATACATATATAAAATAAATCAAATTAAGTCAAACGGTGTGGCCTAAACCAAACCGATCGAGCCAAACATCATGGCGTAAACCAATTCGAGCCAAACTGTTAAAGCCTCGACTTGGACTATTCGAGTGAAACCCTTCACATCTAGTTCACATAGATTATGCCCCTGAGACCACATGTTACACCCCTAGTTCTGGAAGGCGATACACCCCGAATAATGAGGCATGTTTTATACTTTCATAATACAAAGAAATACATTAGAGTAAACAATGTAAATGATACTAAATATTCATTTCATTAATAGAAATTCAGCTAATAGTCCGTCCAAAGAAAATAATACTGACACAAGCAAAGGAATATAAATAGGGCGAATAACATGAAAGAAACTAGCCAACCCTCAAAATCGAAAGCATAATAAACTACTACAAAATATAAAACACAAAAAAATAGACTAATGGTGATAACTTTTATCTTGAGATGATGGTCCACTAAACATGCTTTGTAGGACCTGCTATAAAAAAAATTAATTGGTGAGTTTGATAAATAAAACTTAAAAACAAACTCTTATATATCAAAGAATAAATGACAAAGGTATGGTGGTGCATATAATATGAACAACCACAGGATGGAAGTAACAACTTATAGTTACTATATCAAAATAGTCATGGGTTATGCTATGATTCTTATGATAGATTTTAATATGCTAATACAAACAATGCATATAACAAATTATTGCACAGATAATATCATTCTAATATGATCATGTTAAATACCATTAAAACCTAAATGACTTGTCAGCTATTTATTATTTTTTCAAATCATGTCTAATTATAGATTTAAGCATTTATATGCATATAACTATATTCAATTTATGAAATATTTATTATGGAGAAGATAAACACTAGCCCAAGAAAATCTAGAGATTTTTTGTAAATTCATCACTCTGGTTCCCATTGGCCCCGGTTATCCAATAACCAATATGGTTCTACCAACATACACATCAATGCATCCAAACATATGATTTTTCAAAATTTTCATAAGCATATTTTAATGAATTGTATAGTTTCAATATGATGAATATTCTTTCATAATAAGATATGAATTGTCAATAATAATATTTATTGCATTCAATTAGAACATGTGCATAAAAATACAAAATTGATATACATAAGCTTATGCAATAATAAATCAAGAATATTCTATTTATGAAACTTGTTAATTCATTATAAGTATATGCATAAAATGAAAGAATTTACAATAACAAGATTGATAGTAAAATTAATTACTAAAAAATTATTAGAAATAGCACTGATTTATGCCCTTTAACAATGAAGGGTACACTTAAATCAAAATAAATAATAGCTACGTACCTCTATTCGAGTAACACGAAGAATCCAAGCATACTCGATAATCAACCGACAGAGCTACGAGGACAACGACTCGAAGGTCCCATAAAAAGTGAAGCCAAATAGTTATAAGCATGTACTACGAAGCATAACAATGAATATCCTAAGAAATATTTAGTTTCACCGAAAACACTAAATCAACCATCAAACGTGATATAATCTATGACCTACCAAGATGCCCTATGAAGACAAAAACTAAAAGAAAATTCCACAAATAGTTTTAGATTAATAACACATCTAAAAGATATAAAATAATATATAGATTTGATCAAATCTAACATCAAACTTAAATAAGATCCCCTTCCAAAATAAGTTAATATACCAAGGCAACACCATATCAATTTCAGCAAAAATATTACAAAAGAGAACATTTATTTATATATCTTGGGAACGAAGAGGAAGATAGAAGGAAGAAGAGGAGAAAATAAGAAAGTTTGAACTCACAAGTGAAGGAAGATCTTGTTATAGGTTGTTACCATAAAAGAGGGGCACAAGCGACTCAGCTCGGTTCTGTGCCTAATGATCAATTTGGTGCTGTTAGCATGCAAAGAGAGGAGCAGGAGGGTCGGCTGTGTCCCGAAAAAGCCCTGGACCAAACAGGTCAAGGTCAATTTATAACACCACCTTCCCCCTTCTAATCACATGAATCACACAATTCTTCTACTCATCTTTATCTGTTAATACCAATGATAAGTTCTACAGCCTATATAAGCCAATAAGCTTATATTCACTGCTCCACCTCCTTCTGCAGAGAATCATCACATGTAAAGGCTCACTGCTACAGTAATGGCTCATTGCTACAGCCGCCTGACTACTCTGCTCCTTCTCCTGATTTCCTAACTAACTTGATACCATTTTCTGGATATATATATCCTAATGTATACAGGATGATACAGTTAGTGAAATATGCACATAGCTTGTTCTATCTTCTTGCTCTGTTTTACCTAACCTTCTTCTTGCAGATTTCTTCATGATAACAGAGCTCTGGGATTGACATCCTCTCCGATCCAGCTCCATGGCCGACAGCCAGATCTCCTCCACACCTCAAGTCGCCACTACTACACTTACAGTGGCAGACATCACCATTCCCGCTCCGTTGAAGTTCATTATCTCCAACATAAAGCACATTGTGAACATCCAGCTCAATAGTGATAATCACGCTATTTGGAAATTGCAGGTTTTTAAAATTTTTTCTGCGAACGGTTTTGCTGGTTTTCTAAACGGTCTAGATGTATGCCTACCGAAGCATCATCCTGAACCCGCTCTACCAAATATGGCAGTTAACCGATCAAAACCTTGCAGCGGCGCTGTTCTCCACCATCTCTCCGACTATCCTTCCGTATGTGCTTACTCTGCAAACCACTCACGAAATCTGGGACTCCTTAGAGAAGCGCTTACAACCTACCAATCGTTCGAGGGTTATACAACTCAAGAACGAATTATACCGCATTGAAATGAAGGATCTCACCGTAAATGGCTATTTAACTCATGTAAAACACTTGGTAGACAACATAGCAGCTGCTGGATCCACAGTAGAATCGGAAGATATAATCCTACACATACTGAATGGTCTGCCTTCGTCTTACAACACCTTTAAGACCGCCATTCACACTCGTTCGTCCAACATTCCATTAGACGAGCTCTACTCTTTGCTGCTCAGTGAAGAGATTAATATCCACAATGATCAATTCAAGGACACCACAGCTACTGCCGACTCAGTTGCTCTTGCAACTTTCAAAATAAAAAATGCACCAGTTGACCAATTCAAATCCACCAGAGGCCACTCTACCTCAAACAGGGGAGCCGCACCAAGAAACTTCAACTCCACCAGTCGACCTTCAAGAAATGCAGCTTCTCCACGAGTCACCTGCCAAATCTGTAACAAACCCGGTCATATAGCTGCACAATGCTGGCACAGAACAAATCTTCAATATACGCCTACAATGCCGAATCAACAGCGTAGTTTCTTCACAAACCAACAAACTGCATCTCCATCAGATTGGTACTTGGACACTGGAGCATCTTCACACCTCACTTCCGACCCGCTTCAACTCTCAATTTAAGGATGGCTAAAACTCCGACATTATTCTCTTCTTGATTTCTTTTCTCCTCAATAGCCAAAAATACTTTATAGTCATTGAACTCTTCCTCCTTCAACCAAAAGCCGGTAGTAGAAAGCTTCATCCCTCCCAGCAAATTGATTCTCCTAGTCTCCTTTGTGTTGTAGGAAGTGACGGTAAATAATTGTACTAATTATATTAAATATTTCACCTATGTGTGGAGTTACAAGGTTTGGTTGCAGTGGAAAGCTACATAATTGCTTCATTGTATTTTTTTAAGATGATTATGAGAGTTTGCAGAGTTTCTTATTATTTTACTATATCTTCGAGACTTGCGGGAATGTAAGATATTTTTCACATCTCGTTCCTGTAGCATTATGTACATGATGATTCTCACATAATTTATTTCAATACATTGTTGATTCAAAGAATATTTGTATGAAGAGGTATCAGAGAGTATTTTGGATCAAGAAATTCGACAAATTCACTGTTGATTTATTCCTATTCTCAGAGTAGGACGAGAAGCAACGTGAGAAATTAATACAAAATATTTTTTATTCGATCTTGGCTCTTGAAACCCCAACTTGATAACATGATGACACAATTATATTATTATTACACAGCAAATCATACTTTTTGTATTATTTATGTTGCGAGCTCCAATATTTTGTCATTTATGTTTTAATAAATAGAAGTTATTATTGAGTTTGAATTATCAAACTTACTCATAATTTTTTTTTTATTGCAGGTTCTACTATGTTGTTTGATGGACCATCATCTTAGCCTCTTAGGAGCAAAATTTTCAGTAGTGACAGTATATTCATTTCTTTTAAGCTTATGTAATAGCTCTATTAATATGTTTTATTGAGTGTGGATACACTACAAGAAAATCAACAATAACCGGTAGATTTTTCCTGCGGAAATTAAGTTTTTCGTCGACTTTCTGGCAGATATTTTTTCTGCCGATAAAAGCCACTTAGGAAACGAGAACTGGTGAGTATTTTTCTAGCGGCTTTTCGGCGGAATAAAGTCGTCGGAAATTTAAAAAAAATTAATTAAAAAACGAAGCAGGCACTGCCCACCCGCACTGAGCCCACCGACCCGGCTACCTCTCCCGCTGCCTGCCTGGCTGCCCGCTGCCCTACCCAGCTGCCTCCCGCTCTATCCGTTGCCATGCCGCTCGGCTGAGCTGGCCGCCCGGCCGTGCTGCCACCCCCCCGGCCGCGCTGCCGGCCTACTGTGGGATTCATTGTGAGTATGAAAAATAGTTCAAAGATCCAATTACTAGTTTGCTGGAAGTGCAAAAGTGCTAAAATAGCCACACTTTTTATTTAAAATATAATAATTACAATCCACCGGAAAAACCGTCGAATAGCCCCTGGAAATATGCAGAAAAATAGGCAAATATATTTCGTTGCAATCAGCTGGAAATCCACTGGAAGCCGTCGGAGAATAGCCCACTGAAAAAATCCATCAGTAATGGGCGATTTTCATGTAGTGATAGTTTAGCTTACGTGTGTGTATTTGAGCTGGGTGATAAGAGTTGGTGATGATGTTCGTTGATGCGGTGATGCCTATAATCAATGATGGCGGTGAAGGCGTCGCTATTAAACAAGAAACTGGCTCACGAGTGGACAAAGGGCTCATTAATACCGAACAATATAAGATCATATCTATTAGACCTTCTTAAAGTCATGATAATATTTTGTATGGGCCTATCCCATGTCCCCATCTATTCAAAAACTATACTGTATTATCAACTGTATTGAGAGGCAAGATTCTTACAGATTTTGCAAGCAAAATTCCCAGAAAGTCAAGGAATGAAGTTATTTTACGAATGAAAATGTGCTAATGCCTGCACGATCAATAGCCTTCAGGAACAAGGGAAGTTACCTTCGAATGCCTCTATATACATGTTCTAAGCAAAACTAGCTAGGCTTCTTTTTTCATGCAAAAGAGCTAACTATTTGTCCTTATCTAAGAACAGGTGAGCATAGAGATGTTATTGGAAAGCCTTGCTTTGCAATGCAAGGATAATGGAAGCTTGCGCTCAGCTGAAGAAGAGTTCAAGCAATCCTATACCACAAGTGAGCATATTAGCTTTCTACACAGGACCATGAATTTTGCTTGGCTTTATAGATAACTTTGGTTTTTAATACAATATAACACTTCCTTTGGCTTCCAGTTCTGGTTAACCATTCGGTTGTTGGTTACTCCTATTTATTTATTTACTTGGACCTTCCTTTAAGCAATGGCCGAGTTCAGTGGAATTAGTGATCTATATAAGAGATATGGGACCTCAGCATTGTATGCTAAAGAGTAAGGAACTTAGAAGAGTTATTTATCAACAGTTTCTGAGGTGAATGAGAAAAAAAAAAAAAAAAAGAACTGATTTTCATATTTTCATTTTGTTATATGATTATGTATTTGTTAAATTTAATTTTTTTTCTTTTTTCCTAAGAGGTTGCAGAAAGGGATTAAGAAGCTTAATTCATGGCTGAAAATCACTTCCTAAAGTGCAACACAGATGACTTTCAGGTACTCTGATGCAGCCAGATCCAGAAACTAAAATTAGAATCTTGTGTTTTCATGAAAAATGTAATTTTTTTTTGTTCTGGGCCAAAATGAAATTATTGCTGCATATGTGTGTATATATTATATAATTGCTTGAATCACAGAGCATTCTATATATGTCAAATAACTTGATTTTTGGAACTCAATCAAAATATAACAATTTGATATAAATTACATATTGAGCATGCATGCATTATACAAAAATATAAGGGCTCTATCCGATAAAATGGAAATAAATAAAGAGCATTAGAAACTAAGGCTTCGCTTGGGACGGTTATATTCAAGCTTTTTAAAACAGTTTTTTAGTACGAAAATTAAAACTTTTGTATTATAAAACTGCTTTAAGAAGCAATAAGAAAGTCATCTCAAATGAAACCTAAGTAATAGGAATTTACCCCAACCTGATTACTTGTAACAATACTTCTCCAGCTAATCCATATGAATTCCTTTTTACTGTCATTAACTAAATGGTGAAGAAACATTGAGGCCTTCTTCTCACTTTCAAGCATCCAATTCATTCTGTTGTCAGTTGAATATTAAGGAACTAAAATTCTACTTCTACAGAATTTAGTTGTGGCATCTTACAAACAGATTTGTTTAAAATTTTCTACACAGGAGATAAGCACAGGAAATTCTATTGAAGCTGGAGATGAAAATATCATTCTGAATCCTCGCTTTGAAGATGGCCTTAACAATTGGTCAGGAAGAGGTTGCAAGATTCTTTTGTGTGAGTCCTTGGGAAATGGAAAGGTTCTTCCATTATCAGGAAAATCCTTTGCTTCAACGACTGGACGCACACAGAATTGGAATGGAATTCAACAAGATATCACAGGCAGGTTTCAGAGAAAACTCGCATATGAGATCAGTGCAGTGGTCAGGATATTTGGCTCGCCGGCCGCCGCCGCCGTTGTTCAGGCAACTTTGTGGGTTCAAAAACCGAATGGCAAAGAACAATACATTGTCATTACTCGGTGAGCAGACAATTTTGTTTAGTCAAAACTCAAATTTCCCTCTTTGAATTGGAGAAATAGTTGAATTTATGAATTGAATTGATGTCATTACCAACATTTCTTCTTCTTCTTCTTTTTTATACAAACTAAAGTTCAAAAATGATATTTTGTTGCTTTAGAGTGCAAGCTACAGACAAGGAATGGGTGCAGTTGCAGGGAAAGTTCTTAGTAAATAGTGTAGCAGCAAAGGTTGTTATCTATCTAGAAGGTCCACCTCCCGGGGTTGATATTCTTTTGAATACTATGGTTGTTAAACATGCACAGAAGATCCCTCCATCTCTTCCTCCTGATACAGAGGTAATCACATCATAACTTTGAATATATGTAACATGTAGTTAAAGGAGGGCTCAGGAAAAATCAATTGTCAAAAGCTAAGGCAATTATGTGTTATAGCTTATAGGGTAAGATTTCGTTTGGGACGTCTTTCTTACTGTTTTTAAAATAATTTTTTAGTGCTGAAAAACTGCTTTAAGTAGTAAGAAAATCATCCAAACAAAGCCTAAATATCAATTGACTGATTTATTAGTTTAAATCCTAGATCGAACTTATAGTGCAGAAACTGATCTAAATGTTTTGTTTTCATCTTCTTTACCTTGAATTTAAACTTAGCCTCTGTTTAGCTCGAATGAATTGAAAGAGAAGAAATGAAAAGGAAATGAAAATAGAAAGGGCAAAATAATTGAATATAAATCAATTACTTTAATCCAATTGCTTGGTTGAGCAGAAAAACAATTTTACTTTTTGATTACTTTGAAGGAATGATCATCAAATTGAAAAGGAAATGATACCTTTTTGTTATCAATACTTCAGTTTTACTTCACTTTTTCATTGGGTTTAAGCATAGCACCACACAAAGGAATATGTATATGTTCAAATTTCCTTAGTAAAATTAGTTTCTAATGAACTACACTCAAACTAAAAAAAATCAAATGTAGTATATGAGCTAAACAATATTTCATTTCGTTTAATTCCTCCATAACAACCAAAACTTAATTTACATCTTATTGTTTTAGTATCATGTCAGTGCTAATGCAAAACTTTTTGAAGGAAATTAGGAAAATTTCTATCACCATGAAGAAGCAGTACAAATAGTATATATTCTCTGAGATATTGTAATTCGCAATTTGATAAACTTGAAAATGTTGCGTAATTAACATATCTATACTATTATTGGCATCTTTAATGCTTGCATGGCATCCAAACTTGTTATGATCATCATGCAAACAAAAATTTCTTATTTGAAGTGCCTCAAGAATTGAAATTTTTCTATTTTAGAAAAAAAAATTGTTATAAGTTCTCTCTCTTTGATCTTTTCTATAGCCTTACTAATTTCTCTAACATAATTCTAAGTTATCAACTCTTTGCTTTTTTAGAATGTGCTATATGGAGTAAGCATAATCACAAACAACAACCTCATAGATGGCCTAAATGGTTGGTCTCCTCTTGGTTCTTGCACTCTAAACGTTGGACAAGGCGCACCTCGAATTCTTCCTCCAATGGCTATAGATTCTTTAGCAAGCCATGAACCTTTAAATGGTCGATACATTCTCACTACAAATCGATCACAGACATGGATGGGACCATCTCAGGATATCACATACAAACTCAACTTGTTTGTGACATACCAAGTATCTGCTTGGGCTCGAGTGAGCTCAGTTAGGAATGGCCCTCAGAACATCAATGTTGCTCTCGGCCTGGACAATCAGTATGTGAATGGAGGTCAAGTTGAAGCGGTAGATGATAGATGGTATGAAATTGGAGGATCTTTTAGAATTGAGAAACAACCTTCAAAAGTTCTATTGTATGTTCAAGGTCCTTTGGCTGGTGTTGATCTCATGGTTTCAGGACTACAAATATTCCCAGTTGATAGAAAAGCAAGATTCAAATATCTTAAGAAGAGGACTGATGAGGTGCATATTTTTAAAGTATCATCACTATATAACATTTTATTCATATTCACATTTTTCTTTAAAATTTTCCTAAAGTACAATTCCAACCATACTTTTTAGTATAAAAATGTGACAAGCTTCTAATTATAGAAACATAAGGTATATAAACATAAGGCATGCCTTGTTAAATAATTGTGAGATAGTTTGAAGTCCTACTTAATTAGTCATGTTTTAGACATGTTATTATGAGAAGTCTTTCATTTACATTTTAAGCAAAGAACTGAAAGAAGAGTGTTACAACAAATGAATTTTTAAGTCCAACTACACAATATAAGTGTGACTAAGTTTGAAGTTATACTATTTCACGAGTTCACAATTATAGATCCTTTAAAGTCATTTTATTAAATGTAAATATAAAGTTGACTCATCTCAATTACCTAACCCATCTTGGGCCCCTGGGGTTAAATTTACTCTAATTTTTTATAGATCCAACCCCAGCCTCTCAAAGTAAATCACCAACTAAGTAAGTTAAATTGCAGGTAAGGAAAAGAGATGTAATCCTGAAAATTTCAGGATGCTATTGTGATGATTTCTTTGGAACTTCTATAAAGGTCACTCAAATTAAGAATAACTTCCCTATTGGATCTTGCATCAATAGAACAGATATTGATAATGAAAATTTCGTTGAATTCTTCAAAAATAATTTCAACTGGGGAGTTTTTGGCAATGAACTTAAATGGTATTATACAGAGCCACAACAAGGCAACTTTAATTATGCTGATGCTGATGATCTCTTAGATTTTTGCAACAAAAATGGTGTGCAAGTCAGAGGCCATTGTATATTCTGGGAAGTTGAATCTACAGTTCAACCATGGGTGCAGTCCCTTAGTAAGAACAATTTAATGATTGCTGTTCAGAATCGCCTCACTGGTCTCTTAACAAGATATAAAGGAAAATTCAAACACTATGATGTGAATAATGAGATGCTTCATGGCTCTTTCTATCAAGACAGACTAGGAAAAGATATAAGAGCAAACATGTTCAAGACTGCAAGTCAGTTGGATCCTTCTCCCATACTTTTTGTAAATGATTATCATGTTGAGGATGGTACAGATACTCGAGCGTCTCCAGAGAAGTATATAAAGCAAATTATAGATTTACAAGATCAAGGGGCAAATGTGGGAGGAATTGGAGTTCAAGGCCACATTGATTCTCCCATCGGACCTATCATTTCTTCAGCATTGGACAAGCTAGGCGTATTAGGCCTTCCTATATGGTTCACAGAGATTGATGTATCGTCGATAAATGAGTACATTCGAGCAGATGATTTGGAGGCGATGTTGCGAGAAATTTATGCTCATCCTGCTGTCGATGGCATCATGTTGTGGGGATTTTGGGAGTTGTTAATGAGCAGAGAGAATGCTTATTTAGTAAATGCTGAAGGTGACGTTAATGAAGCTGGAAAGAGGCTTTTAGCTCTTAAGCAAGAGTGGCTTTCAAATGCTTCTGGGAATGTTAATGAGGATGGGGAGTTCTTATTCCGAGGTTTTTATGGTAGTTATACTGTTGAGATTATTGCATTTGAGAAGAAGATAACTCATACATTCTCACTTGAGAAGGGTGATTTTCCTTTAGTCGTGGAAATAAACATTTAGAAGCTCGAATAAGTGGTTTCCATTGGGCTACATATGTAAAGCAATGGATTATGTTGTTATTAAATGTTGTAAAAGTCATGAAGTATAGAGATTTGAGACAAAATATAATAAGTTGTAGTGCACTCAATACAAGGTGTGGTAGCTTTTGTTGCTTTTAACTTAAAAAGAGTAATAAATATTTCATTCATTGCTTGTATTAGTTGAGTCCCAAATTATTATAAGTCTAATGATGGTGATAATAATAATGATCCTACATTATTTCAATTCAAAGGTGGTTTTGAATTTTTATAATTTAGTTAAAAGATAAAAACTCTCTCGAAAAAATAAATAAAAACATTGACTAGTTATATGCCAAGTTAATTACTTAAGTTTAGCTTGATAACATAAGACAATATTTTAACAATGAGCTAATTCTATTGAATTACAAATTTATTTGTGATTTCTAAGACTACAATTAGTTAAAATAAGCATATATTTTAATTAAAAATTTAATCGTAAGGTTGGTCTGATAATGTTTGCCTACTAAGCCTAGTTGTCATAGATTGGACAATTATTGTAGCAAAGCCTAGGCTAAGTGGATAGAATCATTATTCTATGAGAGTAGACTCAAGACTAAAGTTGAAGCCCTTTGTAAATAAAATAAATTAAACTCCCCCACTTTGTTCTTTTTTTTATTTTAATAAATAATTTTTCTTTATCTTGAAAATTTTGTCAATATTAGAACAATGCGAAAAATCAAAATCAATCGATAAAATTTAAGATATTTACGGAAAAATATACAAATGAGATTTTTATCTACTATTTATCACACACATGCTTAAAAATATTTATACAAATAAGCTGATTAAACACATAATTTATAATAAAACTTTCACTTATAAAATTTATTCTTTTTTATAATTGCCCCTCATAAATCTTATCTTCCATCATGATTATAAAAGAAAAAATAAAGACATTCAAATAATTAAAAAAACATAATTTATAATAAAACTTTCACTTCAAAGGTCCTAAAAACCTTTCATTCTATAACATCCATCAAATAATCAAAAGTTATATGACACATTCAACTCCAATAACAATCCTTCCTGCCTTCCAAAAATTCAAACAATTTCTTTTACTTGACATTTTCTTAAAACACATCAACCTCAAAATTATCAATGCCAATTACTTGATTGGCTTACCATTTAATCCGCAAAATAAAAATCAAAGATCCATTCCACCTAGAAAAATAACTTAAAATTAATCAAACTCAAATTCACAGCAAGAGCATCCGATTCAATAAACTCATTTAATGAAAAATATAACTTTTTAAAAGTTATTTATCCGATAAGAACTGCAATTTCAACTCTATTTAAATCGAGTCTATTTCAAATCATTCACAACCATCAAAAACGTCGCATATTCTTTTTTAATATGCCCATCTATTAAATATTGAACATTCTTCCTTCTTGACCTACCACCTACCATAGCAATATTTAAACTCCTATAACATAATAATTAAATTGGAATACTTCCTCCAAGCCATAGTCTACACTTGCCATTTCTCTATAAGCTAAGAGATTTTATTTCTACAAGCATCCTATCATCATCAATCACCTTGTACAATTATTTATCAATCATTCTTCAACAACAAAATTATTGGAGTTATTGAAGTATTCCCTTCTATGAAAATTGAAAAAATTATTTTGTGCGGATGCCGGACGGCATCCCATCCGGAGACCAACTTGTCACGTCATTTTTTTGTTCGGTATCAGTACTCAGTACTGCTCGGTACCGAATAACTTGACATATTCTAATTGATTATAGGACCGTCCTATATCCGCACAAAATAATTTCTAGAAAAGTTGAGAGATAAGCCTCAATTATATGACAAAAGATTACAATCTTTAACAGTGACATAAGGGGGATAATTCAAGTACAAGCATAAACAACGATGAAGTACACTGCTGCCCCACTTAACATATCCTACTCCATCAATCGGACGGCTGAGGAAGACCTTGGTTGAGTGGCTTCACAGTCAACCGCTGGATGGCTTTCAGAAAGGCAGCTCAAAGATGGATATACAGAACGTTGATTTGACCTATACCGAATTTCCATATATCTATAGTGCATGTGAACGTTTAGGTATACGCATGAGTGACTAAGAAGATGATGATTTGGCAAAAATAGCTAAGATAAGATTTCTAGATTTGTAATCCGGATATCTCGTAATGACTTATAATGTGGGGTCACCGGATCATCTGGAGGCTACGTCATCTGATACATATCGGTACACAGTAAATTTGTGATGTGTCTCGTCTTTATTGACCTCTGGACAGCATCCGATGACCGCATGTAATAATTTCGCCATAATGATTCAGTAACCTTCTCTCCCTTATTCTATGTCAGCTCACTTGACAAAATTTATCTCAGAAACTTATAAAATAATTTTTAAAATAAAATAATTTATAAAAAATATTGTTAAGATTTAAAGCCTCTTTGGTTGGATTTAGCTAGGGGTGTAAAGAGGTCAAGCCAAGCTCGAGTCAACCTTAGTTTAAGCTTGAGCTTGATTAACTTGATAAAATCTTGAATCCTAATATTTATAAAGTATTTTTTATCTTATTTTTTTCTTAAACAAGCCGGCTCAAGAGCCATTTATCGAGTCCAGTCCAAGTCAGCTCACGAGTCGACTTGACTCACTTAGTTGGAACTTAAAATAAGATTTCTGCTAGTTTAAACCCTTAAATCCAATCAAGTAATAAAATATAATATCCCTTAAGTTAGAAAATTTTGAACCTAGCTTATTTAAAATTAAGGCTTAAGTGAGTAAAAATGATATTGTTTGAAAACATTTAAGCTTGTCTCTCATATATGGAAAGTAAGTTAATTTAAATTCAATAACGAATTTTAATAACAATTAAGGATCAATTTGAGATACTTTTTTATTATTTTATTTTTCAGACAATAATCATATATCTGATTTATTCATTCTCATTATTTGATACCACTTTTACTGCTTCTTTTTTTTTAAAAAAAATCCAAAACAGTTTTACTATCATCTTTATAAAACACTCAATTTCTCTTGAGTAAACTCTAAAGTTTTGTTTTGAATTGCTTTTTCACAATTTTTTGTGGTAAGAAAAGCTATTAGTAAAAAAATAATACATATTTAGAAGCCTACTTTTTCTTTCAAATTTTAGCCTTTAGAGAGCTATTTTTGAAAAAATATTTTTTAAAATTGTGGCGAAAAAGGAGCTTTAAGAAAACAAAAACAAAAAAACTTAAGATACCCTAAACAAAATCTAAGTTAATTATCATATTCAAACTTATTTTTTCATGTTATTATAGTTTAAAAATAAATAAACTTAAGTTTATCATTTTTTTTAAATAAACAAATAAAGTTGATACGTAATCAAATATTTTTTGATCAGGCACGAATCTCAAGATAAATTTGAATTGGAATTAAATTTGGGACCGTCATGCCCATTGAGGGCACGAAGCACATTTGGAAGGCTCAGAACAAAAATTGGAGGACCAAATGCCATCCAAATGTGATATACTCGACTAGAAGAATCCAAGGAGCCTAAGATAGTCAAATTCTAATATCATTAAGACATTCAAATACTCAATAATCAGTCCACGATCAAGGAATTTGATTTCGGCCATCCATTCAAAATACTACCAACATGCCCTTGATCTTCTTTATATTTACTGGTCATCTCACTCCCAAAAAATTATAAATAGACCATTGATTCTTCACAGAGGGGGGCAAGCAAGGAAAGGAAGGAATAGATAAGAGAAAGAGAAATCGGAAAGTTCTCTTGCAACCAGATTCCTCCTCGACCACCACCCGACCATTGATTGTAGTTGAACTTTCGCCCAACCACCAACTAACACCGGATTTACACCCGACTGCCAACCGTCGCCGAACTTTTGTCTAGCCCGTATTTGTTGTTAGATTTCTACCCAATAGTAGACTATTATAATTCGAACGTCCTCAAGTTCAATGACTAATCAATCTTTATATCTATTCATATACTAGTTGATTCAATTCAATTGGGTCTGACTCCGTGATTTTTTTCTTCAAAGTTTTCCACGTAAAAAAAAAATTAATGTTTCTATTCTCTCTGTTTGTGAGCTGAATATATAATCATGCAAAGCTAGGAGGAAAAATTCTTTTACTTTACCTTTGCAAATCTTCTAGCTCGCAACAAATGTTTATAATTAAATAAATTCATATTTAAATTAATCTAAAACATTTAATATATTATGACTTTTATATTATTAAAATTGAACGAATGCCTCTCTTTAATATATTAAAATTCTATCAAATATCTTACTATAAATTATATTAAGATGAAATAAATAATTACCGAATTTACTTTAAAATTTGTGTAATAGAAACTCTTCATAAGTAGCATTACTCTAAAAACAATTTAATAATTAAAGTATTTATCTAAGCATAATTTGTATTAGAATATTCTAGCACAATTTTTTTCTACCTTCGATTGTGTTAGGATTCATTTGTGATAGATTTCTTGTTGTTTTCTAAAGTAATTTTTTAGTACAATTTTTTTTAAATAAAAAATTTTTATACTAAAAAGTTGATTTAAAAAATAACCCTTCCCAAATGAAGCCTTAGAGTTCGTTTGGGACGGCTTTTTTATTGCTTTCTGAAACGGAGTTTTAGTACAAATTTTTTTATTTTTATACTAAAACTCCGTTTTAGAAAGCAATAAAAAAGCCGTCCCAAACGAAGCCTTAATCTCTCTCTCTCAGCACGCCTTTAAACATATAAAATGGCATATTTAAAAGTCTAACTTTTATATTTAATTAATTTATGATTTATTTGAAATATGAAAATTAGGATATCTATAACTGTTTTAAGGAAAATAATTTAAATTTAAAATATTTATATCAGTTTGTCAAATTTTTTGCGTATGTATGGACAACAAAGGCCCACCAAAGATAAGGTAGATGATTTGATGATTGTGATGGTTGGAATAAAAAAAAGGAGAAAATGGAATGGTACAAATTTATAGGATTAAAAGTGCCCTTATTCCCACCATTATAGGTTGGCATCATTAGAGAAATATTTTCAACTATTTTCCCTTTCCAAATTTTTACATAATAAAAATGGCTTTATTTTTCCTAATAA